GAGTGTGGTGAGTGTGAGCGCTGTGTATCACAAGTAGGAGAGTGGTGAGTGTGAGCGTTGTGTATCACAAGTAGGAGAGTGGTGAGTGTGAGCGCTGTGTATCACAAGTAGGAGTGGTGAGTGTGAGTGTTGTGTGTCACAAGTAGGAGTGGTGAGTGTGAGCGCTGTGTGTCACAAGTAGGAGTGGTGAGTGTGAGCGTTGTGTGTCACAAGTAGGAGTGTGGTGAGTGTGAGCGCTGTGTGTCACAAGTAGGAGTGTGGTGAGTGTGAGCGTTGTGTGTCACAAGTAGGAGTGGTGAGTGTGAGCGCTGTGTGTCACAAGTAGGAGTGGTGAGTGTGAGCGTTGTGTGTCACAAGTAGGAGAGTGGTGAGTGTGAGCGCTGTGTGTCACAAGTAGGAGTGTGGTGAGTGTGAGCGTTGTGTATCACAAGTAGGAGTGTGGTGAGTGTGAGCGTTGTGTGTCACAAGTAGGAGAGTGGTGAGTGTGAGCGCTGTGTATCACAAGTAGGAGTGTGGTGAGTGTGAGCGTTGTGTGTCACAAGTAGGAGTGGTGAGTGTGAGCGCTGTGTGTCACAAGTACAAGAGTGGTGAGTGTGGCACTGTGTATCACAAGTAGGAGTGTGGTGAGTGTGAGCACTGTGTGTCACAAGTAGGAGAGTGGTGAGTGTGAGCGCTGTGTATCACAAGTAGGAGTGGTGAGTGTGAGCGCTGTGTGTCACAAGTACGAGAGTGGCGAGTGTGAGCGCTGTGCGTCACAAGTAGGAGTGGTGAGTGTGAGCGCTGTGTGTCACAAGTAGGAGAGGTGAGTGTGAGCGCTGTGTGTCACAAGTAGGAGAGAGTGGTGAGTGTGAGTGCTGTGTATCACAAGTACGAGAGTGGTGAGTGTGAGCGTTGTGTGTCACAAGTAGGAGTGGTGAGTGTGAGCGCTGTGTATCACAAGTACGAGAGTGGTGAGTGTGAGCGCTGTGTGTCACAAGTAGGAGTGGTGAGTGTGAGCGTTGTGTGTCACAAGTACGAGAGTGGTGAGTGTGAGCGCTGTGTGTCACAAGTAGGAGTGGTGAGTGTGAGCGTTGTGTGTCACAAGTAGGAGTGGTGAGTGTGAGCGCTGTGTGTCACAAGTAGGAGTGGTGAGTGTGAGCGCTGTGCGTCACAAGTAGGAGTGGTGAGTGTGAGCGCTGTGTGTCACAAGTAGGAGTGGTGAGTGTGAGCGCTGTGTGTCACAAGTAGGAGTGGTGAGTGTGAGCGCTGTGTGTCACAAGTAGGAGTGGCGAGTGTGAGCGTTGTGTGTCACAAGTACGAGAGTGGTGAGTGTGAGCGCTGTGTGTCACAAGTAGGAGTGGTGAGTGTGAGCGCTGTGTGTCACAAGTAGGAGTGGCGAGTGTGAGCGTTGTGTGTCACAAGTACGAGAGTGGTGAGTGTGAGCGCTGTGTGTCACAAGTAGGAGTGGTGAGTGTGAGCGCTGTGTGTCACAAGTAGGAGTGGTGAGTGTGAGCGCTGTGTGTCACAAGTAGGAGTGGTGAGTGTGGCACTGTGTGTCACAAGTAGGAGAGTGGTGAGTGTGAGCACTGTGTGTCACAAGTAGGAGTGTGGTGAGTGTGACCGTTGTGTGTCACAAGTAGGAGTGGTGAGTGTGAGCGCTGTGTGTCACAAGTAGGAGTAGTGAGTGTGAGCGCTGTGTGTCACAAGTAGGAGTGGTGAGTGTGGCACTGTGTGTCACAAGTAGGAGTGGTGAGTGTGAGCGCTGTGTGTCACAAGTAGGAGTGGTGAGTGTGAGCACTGTGTGTCACAAGTAGGAGAGTGGTGAGTGTGAGCACTGTGTGTCACAAGTAGGAGTGTGGTGAGTGTGAGTGTTGTGTGTCACAAGTAGGAGTGGTGAGTGTGAGCGCTGTGTGTCACAAGTACAAGAGTGGTGAGTGTGGCACTGTATCACAAGTAGGAGTGTGGTGAGTGTGAGCACTGTGTGTCACAAGTAGGAGAGTGGTGAGTGTGAGCGCTGTGTATCACAAGTAGGAGTGGTGAGTGTGAGCGCTGTGTGTCACAAGTACGAGAGTGGCGAGTGTGAGCGCTGTGCGTCACAAGTAGGAGTGGTGAGTGTGAGCGCTGTGTGTCACAAGTAGGAGTGGTGAGTGTGAGCGCTGTGTGTCACAAGTAGGAGTGGTTAGTGTGAGTGCTGTGTATCACAAGTACGAGAGTGGCGAGTGTGAGCGCTGTGCGTCACAAGTAGGAGTGGTGAGTGTGAGCGCTGTGTGTCACAAGTAGGAGTGGTGAGTGTGAGCGCTGTGTGTCACAAGTAGGAGTGGTTAGTGTGAGTGCTGTGCATCACAAGTACGAGAGTGGCGAGTGTGAGCGCTGTGCGTCACAAGTAGGAGTGGTGAGTGTGAGCGCTGTGTGTCACAAGTAGGAGTGGTGAGTGTGAGCGTTGTGTGTCACAAGTAGGAGTGGTGAGTGTGAGCGTTGTGTGTCACAAGTAGGAGTGGTGAGTGTGAGCGTTGTGTGTCACAAGTAGGAGTGGTGAGTGTGAGCGCTGTGTGTCACAAGTAGGAGTGTGGTGAGTGTGAGCACTGTGTGTCACAAATAGGAGAGTGGTGAGTGTGAGCGCTGTGTGTCACAAGTAGGAGTGTGGTGAGTGTGAGCACTGTGTGTCACAAGTAGGAGAGTGGTGAGTGTGAGCGTTGTGTGTCACAAGTAGGAGAGTGGTGAGTGTGAGCGCTGTGTATCACAAGTAGGAGTGGGGAGTGTGAGCGTTGTGTGTCACAAGTAGGAGTGGTGAGTGTGAGCGCTGTGTGTCACAAGTAAGAGTGGTGAGTGTGAGCGCTGTGTGTCACAAGTAGGAGTGGTGAGTGTGAGCGTTGTGTATCACAAGTAGGAGTGGTGAGTGTGAGCGCTGTGTATCACAAGTAGGAGAGTGGTGAGTGTGAGCGCTGTGTGTCACAAGTAGGAGTGTGGTGAGTGTGAGCGCTGTGTATCACAAGTAGGAGAGTGGTGAGTGTGAGCGTTGTGTATCACAAGTAGGAGAGTGGTGAGTGTGAGCGCTGTGTATCACAAGTAGGAGAGTGGTGAGTGTGAGCGCTGTGTCACAAGTAGGAGTGGCGAGTGTGAGCGCTGTGTCACAAGTAGGAGAGAGTGGTGAGTGTGAGTGCTGTGTATCACAAGTAGGAGTGGTGAGTGTGAGCGTTGTGTATCACAAGTAGGAGTGGTGAGTGTGAGCGCTGCATCACAAGTAGGAGAGAGTGGTGAGTGTGAGTGCTGTGTATCACAAGTAGGAGTGGTGAGTGTGAGTGCTGTGTATCACAAGTAGGAGTGGCGAGTGTGAGCGCTGTGTCACAAGTAGGAGAGAGTGGTGAGTGTGAGTGCTGTGTATCACAAGTAGGAGTGGTGAGTGTGAGCGCTGTGTATCACAAGTAGGAGTGGTGAGTGTGAGCGCTGTGTGTCACAAGTAGGAGAGTGGTGAGTGTGAGCGTTGTGTGTCACAAGTAGGAGTGGTGAGTGTGAGCGCTGTGTATCACAAGTAGGAGTGGTGAGTGTGAGCGTTGTGTGTCACAAGTAGGAGTGGTGAGTGTGAGCGCTGTGTATCACAAGTAGGAGAGTGGTGAGTGTGAGCGCTGTGTATCACAAGTAGGAGTGGTGAGTGTGAGCGTTGTGTATCACAAGTAGGAGTGGTGAGTGTGAGCGCTGTGTATCACAAGTAGGAGTGGTGAGTGTGAGCGTTGTGTATCACAAGTAGGAGAGTGGTGAGTGTGAGCGCTGTGTGTCACAAGTAGGAGTGGTGCGTGTGAGCGCTGTGTATCACAAGTAGGAGAGTGGTGAGTGTGAGCGCTGTGTGTCACAAGTAGGAGTGGTGAGTGTGAGCACTGTGTGTCACAAGTAGGAGTGGTGAGTGTGAGTGCTGTGTGTCACAAGTAGGAGTGTGGTAAGTGTGAGCGTTGTGTATCACAAGTAGGAGAGTGGTGAGTGTGAGCGTTGTGTGTCACAAGTAGGAGTGGTGAGTGTGGCACTGTGTGTCACAAGTAGGAGAGTGGTGAGTGTGAGCGTTGTGTATCACAAGTAGGAGTGGTGAGTGTGAGCACTGTGTCACAAGTAGGAGTGGTGAGTGTGAGCGTTCTGTATCACAAGTAGGAGTGGTGAGTGTGAGCACTGTGTGTCACAAGTAGGAGAGTGGTGAGTGTGAGCGTTCTGTATCACAAGTAGGAGTGGTGAGTGTGAGCGCTGTGTGTCACAAGTAGGAGTGGTGAGTGTGAGCGCTGTGTGTCACAAGTAGGAGTGGTGAGTGTGGCACTGTGTGTCACAAGTAGGAGAGTGGTGAGTGTGAGCGTTGTGTATCACAAGTAGGAGTGGTGAGTGTGAGCGCTGTGTATCACAAGTAGGAGTGGTGAGTGTGAGCGCTGTGTATCACAAGTAGGAGTGGTGAGTGTGAGCGCTGTGTGTCACAAGTACGAGAGTGGTGAGTGTGAGCGATGTGTGTCACAAGTAGGAGTGGTGAGTGTGAGCGCTGTGTATCACAAGTAGGAGTGGTGAGTGTGAGCGCTGTGTATCACAAGTAGGAGTGGTGAGTGTGAGCGCTGTGTGTCACAAGTACGAGAGTGGTGAGTGTGAGCGCTGTGTGTCACAAGTAGGAGTGGTGAGTGTGAGCGCTGTGTGTCACAAGTAGGAGTGGTGAGTGTGAGCGCTGTGTGTCACAAGTAGGAGTGGTGAGTGTGAACGCTGTGTATCACAAGTAGGAGTGGTGAGTGTGAGCGTTGTGTATCACAAGTAGGAGTGGTGAGTGTGAGCGCTGTGTGTCACAAGTAGGAGTGGTGAGTGTGAGCGCTGTGTGTCACAAGTAGGAGTGGTGAGTGTGAACGCTGAGTATCACAAGTAGGAGTGGTGAGTGTGAGCGTTGTGTATCACAAGTAGGAGTGGTGAGTGTGAGCGCTGTGTGTCACAAGTAGGAGTGGTGAGTGTGAGCACTGTGTATCACAAGTAGGAGTGGTGAGTGTGAGCGCTGCGTTGCGCCATCTCACATGTTCTGGTGCGCATTCTTCATGGCCTTGGCGGCGAAGCCCATCGTCTTGAGCACCTCGGTGTTGGTGTTGGCGTTCTCGAGTGCCTCGCGCTGGAACTCGATGGTGGACAGCGTGCCGTCGATCTGTGCCAGCTGCTTCTCGTAGCGCTTCTTACGCTTGAGCGCAGCGAGAGCGACTGCAGATGGACAGCACACGCACAGTCACATTTATAGATTCGTGCACACGCACCACCACGTTCGTCTCCTCGTTAGCCTCGTAAGTCGTAAGCGAGAAGTGTTCAGATTTCAGACACCATCGACCACTGTTGTTGCATAACGTGGCCAAGGAATCAAACCCGGGCTGCTGGCTTTGTAGCTCTGCAACGACACTATTCCACACGCACACTCGGAAACAAAGAACCCAAGTTCAGACCATTTGGGAAAGATTTCCGAGTATATTAACAAATAGGTGATTCAACTGCACAACACAAGTCTCACCAGCACTGATATTTCTGACCACACAATTGCACTAATTACATATTTTAACCCGAGTTGACCTAGGGGGATCAGGGCAGGCACTCGCACCACTTGCCCCCGATGAAATGAATCATTGCTAACAACAATACACCACTCCACGGGTAATTGTAGTGCCAGCTTCGTGACGCGCTCGCATTTTAGATGAGCGTTATGCGCATATTAATCCTCGAGAAAGTCGCGCAGCAGCATGTCACAATGAACATCCTGTGCTTACACTGCCAAAGAGCGAAAATAAAGCGGGAGTAGGTTTTCTTCTTTCACCTAATCGCCATGGCAGAACGCCTCCCTTTCGCGCGACTGACAATCATGGCGGCATAACGCACGGAAACGACAACCTGCAAAAGGTCGGGGTTTTTAAAGAGCGTCCCACAGTGTCAATCGTTGCTTCTTAATTCACAAGAGGCGTTTCAAGTGCCCACCCTGCTACCAACGCCCTGAGCTGCATTCCTCAACCCACAGCACCGTCGACGCCTAAAGACTCGGGGGCCAAATGCTCTTTTTGTCAACCAACTACTGGATGAGGGCACCCCACGCCATGTGGGTCACGAGGGTTATAAATACATCACCACACTTGTCAGAGCGGGGGTGGGTTAAGGTGGGGAGTATAGACTGAGCATAGTACGGGACAATTAACTTTGCTGAACTGCCCTCTGCTGGCACATGGTACATATGTAGTGACATAAGAAGGGAGGGGCTGCTGGGGGGCTCTGGGTCCCTGGGCGGGTCAGACGCTTAAGCCTCTTGGCATCAGGCGTTGGGTTCCCAGGCGCTTAATCCCCTTGGCGCCACCAGGGGGGGGGGGCTGTGTGTGCTCTGTGGGATATCTGGGGGCGCACACGGCCCCACCCCTCGTTGGGGACTGGGCATAAAAGTGGAGCTCCCTGGACGATCGGGGCCAGTCGTAGCTCAAGACCCAAGACCCAAGACCAGCCATCGGAGGACCCTGGGACGCTGTGAGAGCCAGTGGTGGGACTCTGGAACTCCCGACTCTACGACCTTGTGAGGGCGAGTTCCAGAGCGTAGCCAGAGTAGAGTATCTAGGCTGTGTACCTAGGCTGTGTACCTAGGCTGTAACAGAGTATCAGGAGTGTTGGAGAGTTGGAGTGTTGGACTGTTGGAGTATTGTTGGAGTGTTGTATTGTAATAAAGAAGTTACCTCTACAAGTGTCTCCGGAAACCGTTACACATAAATAGACTAATATCATGTCGAAGGGTCTCCCTGCTCAAAGCTACAGACCCATTTCCTAAGGCTCAGTGTCAAAAACTACAATTATCTAGCTCAAACAAATGTGGTGGCGGTGTGGCGATGTCTGTTGGCAGCCCGACGGCAATGGTGAAAATTCCACATTCTTGGAGGTTGGCAGTCTCCCCACGGAGGCAAGAACTGTTCATTTCTCACAAAGAGAGACAAACGTATTGTACCTGGAAGGATGATGGGTTTAGTAGACCCATACTGAGCATTTTAACTCAAAACCTTCCGATTCAGATCCAAGGACTATGAAACGGCACCACCCTACAGAATAATACAGACAAACAGAGTGCATTTAATACAAATAAAAAAGACTGAGTGATGTAAATTGTTTTAAAAGACCTACTGAGATGAAATTTTCACAAATATAGTTGTATATGAGCTTATAATTAGGAATATCCCAATACTTCAAACAAGCCTCCAAACAAAACAGCCCAGAGGTTGGCCAGTTTTACTCATCGGGCAGTCAGCATAAAACTGTAAAGTGCTTTAAGACTAAACATTCACATACCTACGATCATCATCAGTGAAACGAGTAATTCAACTCCTGTGACGCGTGATGCTGATGTGAAGTAGTTAAAGCCCATTACACGTCTCTAGTACACAGAGATCCTCCATTCAGTCTCCACTGTTTGGAACGTGTACTTTTATGGGGCACCCATCGAGTCCAGCGTAGCGTAAAGACGGTGGTGTGACCACTACCACCACGGAGGCCCACACCTGCCACTGTCTCTCCAGATTGCACAATGTTGACTATTTCACACTGTGTGCTCTTTCTACAGCGGAGGCGAGACCCATGTGGCGGGTGGCAAGAGCTGTGCATGCTGCCCCCTCGTGGAGCCTGCTCTCTGGGGTTGCAGCACCCACTCCAAAACAAGGGGGAAGAGGCACGCTGCCGTTGATCAAGTACAGCCTGTCAACTCACTGGTGAATTACCCATCTTTACGGGTTGTGACGGTTGTTTGACCATACTCGGTGCAGACTTGTGAAGGTGGGGAGCATAGGCAAGGGAGCATAGAAGTAAAGTAGAATAATGGATGTTTCTGCATTGCCAATGTGAGGCTCTGCCTGTTGTTCTGGAAGGTTTGATTCATGGAATGAAGGACAGCATAACTAGGATATAAATGGCATAAAAAACAAAGACACCTGGTGATTTACCATTTCTCCCTTGTCAAATGGATGACACCACTGAACTATCTGCTGGGTACAGGAAGCTGCATTTAATTTGTAATGGTCCACACCTTCACCTCAGTCGATGTCATTACAATCTGGACAAACCAGGCTTGGATAGAGCAATGGCCACATGATATCATACACGCCCGCGTCATGTTAATGTACACACCTTCCCGCTGTCCACTTGTAGCTTCCGATACAAAACGTTGTTTTGTCAATTCTTAAGACTCACTTTACATTTCCCGCAAGACCAGCCGTTCCTGTTCCATCCAGATGCAGCTAAAACAGTGCAACAAATAAACACGCTCACTCTTTCTTTTTCAGAGTGCTCATGATCTCAAGGTTTAGAGTCAAAATCCTGGCCAGGACTGACTCCTTCAGCAGATAATCATCATCTCTCTCTGGGGTGCATCAGTTAAATAATACCTGATGAGATTGCTCCCATTCATGGTTTTTCTACAGTGGTCATCCTATGAACAGACTTCTCATTGTAACAGAAAACATGAAGGCTATTCCACTGACTCAGGGCTCTTTATAGGTATATAAGCAGTACCCAACGCTTGAACATAATTTGGATTGGGTCACTGTGCCCCAGGTTTCAGTATCAACCTAATAGATCTGACCTGACCTCAGAGAATGTGACTACTCTTGCGACTAAGGCTTCAATTCCTTTGTCCTATGTCCAATGGAAAGGTCTTTGGCTCCAACTCCCTCCAACGCGTCCAATCTTGAGCCTCCTAAATTTCACTCTACGGGCCCCAAAATTATTACAATTTAAGGTTGACCCACACTTAAATAAGTACCCGGCGTGACCAGTAAACATCAGCACTGGGGAAACAAAGGCAGCTGGTTGTGGCGCTGCCCTCACAACTCCTTCGTATATCACGTCAGTTCACTGCCAACACTTACCCCCCCAATAAGCTATACAATGTCATAGGGAGTTGTTCAGTTTGTTTGTGTGTGAGCAAGTGTTTTAAATGGCACGAGCGATGTAGTGATGTCACCACCACCGAGTGCAAACGGTGGTTGATGTTGTTGTTGTATTCGAGAATGTGCACAAGGCACTGACATCTCAGCGAGTAGAATGAAGAGCCACTTTGTGACGTAAAACCACAGACCAAGAGACCTGTGGAGAGTTGCATAACGCATCGCTTCGGGTGTTCTCATTACTGATTAAACACGGATTGCGCCATTGATATGCCACACGGGCCATGGAGGTGACAAATGTGCCGTGATGTCACATGAATACAACCCTCCTGCGTACCGTACCTCGCATTACAATTTAGTTGAATCTGTACGGAAACATCACTTCATGCAGCCCCCTTAGACCACGTGTACAAATCCACAAGTTGCCAACAAGCCACATGTTCAAGGCTGGGTTCAATCATATTGTGTATGACCAGGCAAGCATACAAGTCTCTTTCACAAAGGTAGAGTCTGAGATGAAAATCCAGCTGGAACATCACAGTTCAATATCCACTCACCGACCCAGCCGGGAGGCACTGTGGGTCTCACACTCACCGACCCAGCCGGGAGGCACTGTGGGTCACACACTCACCGACCTAGCCGGGAGGCACTGTGGGTCACACACTCACCGACCCAGCCGGGAGGCACTGTGGGTCTCACACTCACCGACCTAGCCGGGAGGCACTGTGGGTCACACACTCACCGACCCAGCCGGGAGACACTGTGGGTCTCACACTCACCGACCCAGCCGGGAGGCACTGTGGGTCTCACACTCACCGACCCAGCCGGGAGACACTGTGGGTCTCACACTCACCGACCCAGCCGGGAGGCACTGTGGGTCTCACACTCACCGACCCAGCCGGGAGGCACTGTGGGTCTCACACTCACCGACCCAGCCGGGAGACACTGTGGGTCTCACACTCACCGACCCAGCCGGGAGACACTGTGGGTCTCACACTCACCGACCTAGCCGGGAGGCACTGTGGGTCACACACTCACCGACCCAGCCGGGAGACACTGTGGGTCTCACACTCACCGACCCAGCCGGGAGGCACTGTGGGTCTCACACTCACCGACCCAGCCGGGAGGCACTGTGGGTCTCACACTCACCAGACCAGCCGGGAGGCACTGTGGGTCTCACACTCACCGACCCAGCCGGGAGGCACTGTGGGTCTCACACTCACCGACCCAGCCGGGAGGCACTGTGGGTCTCACACTCACCGACCCAGCCGGGAGGCACTGTGGGTCTCACACTCACCGACCCAGCCGGGAGGCACTGTGGGTCTCACACTCACCGACCCAGCCGGGAGGCACTGTGGGTCTCACACTCACCGACCCAGCCGGGAGGCACTGTGGGTCTCACACTCACCGACCCAGCCGGGAGGCACTGTGGGTCTCACACTCACCGACCCAGCCGGGAGGCACTGTGGGTCTCACACTCACCGACCCAGCCGGGAGGCACTGTGGGTCTCACACTCACCGACCCAGCCGGGAGGCACTGTGGGTCTCACACTCACCGACCCAGCCGGGAGGCACTGTGGGTCTCACACTCACCGACCCAGCCGGGAGGCACTGTGGGTCTCACACTCACCGACCCAGCCGGGAGGCACTGTGGGTCTCACACTCACCGACCCAGCCGGGAGGCACTGTGGGTCTCACACTCACCGACCCAGCCGGGAGGCACTGTGGGTCTCACACTCACGACTCTCGCAACCTCCTCCAGCCCGCCCCCGGGCCACCTCCTCCTCTCTCGCTGCGCCCACGCGATTCGACCCCGTGGCTCCCTCTGACACCCACCCGCGCCGTAACAGTAAATATTCCCAACTTGTTGTTTCTCAAAACCCACGGCGTTTCGACCCATCTCTACCGGTACCCCTCCCTTATACTACCTATGTACCTCTCTGTATCACGTCCCTTGCCCTCCCGTCTCTCCATTTGCCGTCGACTCTCCACGTCTCCACGTACCACAGTGTCTAGCCAGGGGTAAGCAAACCGCCCCATAGGTCTCAACGTCAAACGCCAGCCATCAGTTGTCCATCCCCTGCACCTCCGCTGAAGCAGGGTCGGCTACGTACGGTGCGAAAGAAGTTCCAACATACATACGGCACCACCCCCGTGTCTTCCCGGGTCGCCGACCAACTCTCACGAGCGCGCGTCGCTTCCCGTGTACCCCTCTGCATTGTTATTCTAACCCCTTTATTATTCAGCGAATTATTTTACAGTTAGAGCCCCAGATCAACAAGGAAAATAAAAAAATACATTTTTGTAGACGTACGTCAATGTAATGTGAGTGAACGTCAGCCCACGTAGCTAGTCATGTGACAGCCTCCTCCAGCACGTCCGTCCGCAATGTATACAAACCACTAAGTGACCAACTCGAACCCTGCGCCCGTGTATCTCTCTGTCCATATATTCCCATGAATCTGTGTCCATGTTGACAGCATGTGCCGTCTATCCCGTGTTAGGTTTCCGTGCTGTCTCCACCTGTAGCTACGTCCCAATGTGTTATGTAGTTGCCGTGTCTCCTCCCCATGCCTCGGCGTATGTTCCTTATGGCGGTCTCCCGGGGTACTAAACAATACTAAATGGCCGAGGCAATTAAATATTTTACTTCTGGGACACTTCTTTTCCAGGGGTGTACTTCACTCCGCGACTGGGGTACCAATCAATCCGGGGTACCGCCATGAGGGTCATCCTCCGTCTTCATGTCCTCAGGTCCCCCCCGTGTCTCCCCGTAGCCCTGCGTGTCCCCCCCACCCCCACTTTCTCGCGTCTCCCCATATCCCTGTTGTCTCTTCTCATACCCTTTCGTATATCCCCGTCCACCTGTCTCCATGTCGCCGTCTCTCACCCGCCCTCTCCATTGCTCTTCCCCTTGTCTCTCGACCCAGCATCGCTGTCTCACCCACAAAGTCCCCTCTCCCCGTGTCTCACCCACCAATCTCACCTCTCCCCGTGTCTCACCCACGATCTCCCCTCTCCCCGTGTCTCACCCACAAAGTCCCCTCTCCCCGTGTCTCACCCACCAATCTCACCTCTCCCCGTGTCTCACCCACAAAGTCCCCTCTCCCCGTGTCTCACCCACGATCTCCCCTCTCCCCGTGTCTCACCCACGATCTCCCCTCTCCCCGTGTCTCACCCACAAAGTCCCCTCTCCCCGTGTCTCACCCACGATCTCCCCTCTCCCCGTGTCTCACCCACGATCTCCCCTCTCCCCGTGTCTCACCCACAATGTCCCCCGTCCCCGTGTCTCACCCACACTTTTCTCGTGTCTCACCCACGATCTCCCCTCTCCCCGTGTCTCACCCACCAATCTCCCCTCTCCCCGTGTCTCACCCACAATGTCCCCCGTCCCCGTGTCTCACCCACACTTTTCTCGTGTCTCACCCACGATCTCCCCTCTCCCCGTGTCTCACCCACAATGTCCCCGTGTCTCACCCACAACGTCCCCGTGTCTCACCCACAACGTCCCCGTGTCTCACCCACAACGTCCCCGTGTCTCACCCACAATGTCCCCGTGTCTCACCCACAATGTTCCCGTGTCTCACCCACAATGTCCCCGTGTCTCACCCACAATGTCCCCGTGTCTCACCCACAATGTCCCCGTGTCTCACCCACAATGTCCCCGTGTCTCACCCACAATGTCCCCGTGTCTCACCCACAATGTCCCCGTGTCTCACCCACAACGTCCCCGTGTCTCACCCACAACGTCCCCGTGTCTCAACCACAACGTCCCCGTGTCTCACCCACAACGTCCCCGTGTCTCACCCACAACGTCCCCGTGTCTCACCCACAACGTCCCCGTGTCTCACCCACAATGTCCCCGTGTCTCACCCACAATGTCCCCGTGTCTCACCCACAATGTCCCCGTGTCTCACCCACAATGTCCCCGTGTCTCACCCACAATGTCCCCGTGTCTCACCCACAATGTCCCCGTGTCTCACCCACAATGTCCCCGTGTCTCACCCACAATGTCCCCGTGTCTCACCCACAATGTCCCCGTGTCTCACCCACAATGTCCCCGTGTCTCACCCACAATGTCCCCGTGTCTCACCCACAATGTCCCCGTGTCTCACCCACAATGTCCCGTGTCTCACCCACAATGCCCCCGTGTCTCACCCACAATGTCCCCGTGTCTCACCCACAATGTCCCCGTGTCTCACCCACAATGTCCCCGTGTCTCACCCACAATGTCCCCGTGTCTCACCCACAACGTCCCCGTGTCTCACCCACAACGTCCCCGTGTCTCACCCACAACGTCCCCGTGTCTCAACCACAACGTCCCCGTGTCTCACCCACAATGTCCCCGTGTCTCACCCACAATGTCCCCGTGTCTCACCCACAATGTCCCCGTGTCTCACCCACAATGTCCCCGTGTCTCACCCACAATGTCCCCGTGTCTCACCCACAATGTCCCCGTGTCTCACCCACAATGTCCCCGTGTCTCACCCACAATGTCCCCGTGTCTCACCCACAATGTCCCCGTGTCTCACCCACAATGTCCCCGTGTCTCACCCACAATGTCCCCGTGTCTCACCCACAATGTCCCCGTGTCTCACCCACAATGTCCCCGTGTGTCACCCCGTCTTCCGGTGTCACCTTATCCCCGCGTGTGTCACCCCACCATCTCTCCCCCCTGTCCCCGCGTCTCCCCCGCGTCCTCACCGCGCTTGTTCTTGGTGCCGTTCTTTCGCGCCGTGGCGATCTCGGTGTCGATCTTCTTCTCGAGGAACTCCTGCTTCTTGGCGAGCATCTCCTCCGTCTCGCGCAGCTTCTGCAGCGCCTCCTGCGGCGTCACCGACGTCTTGCTCTTGCCGCCGCCGCCGCCGCCGAAGAACTTCAACATGATGGCCGCGTTTGTCGTCAACGACGCTCGCGAAGAGGAGGAGAGACGAAGATGAGACGGAGGCGAGACGAAGGGGAGACGACAAAACGACGACGCGCGGAGGCCGCCGAGAGTCGCCGGAGAGACGCGAAATGGCGCCGAGCTCCAAATGCCCACAGCGCATCGGGAGCCGCCTCGAGCAAGAGCCGCTCCCATTGGCTGGCGGGGCCCTACAGCGGCGCGCGATTGGGTGACGCGGCGCACCGCGGAGCCAATCGCGAACGTCGACGCGGCGGCGCTCGCCCATGCGCGCTGCGGTATTAGAAGCAGGGGTGAACCACTCCCTGTGAACCACTCCCTGTGACGTCTCGCAAGGTTCCGTGACGTCGTCGCCCTGACACGTACCGTGACTCGCGGTCACGTGATCGAACCCCGCCCGCCGCGTGACGTCACTCGCAAGATGGCCGAATTAGACGTGGGACGTCACTGCGCGGTTGAACAGTGCGGGCAGCTCGGTAGGGCTCGGCATGCTCGGGTGAGGCGGGCTCCTTTGCCCGCGTTGTTGCGATGAACTCCGTTACTGAACAAACATTTGTGCTAACGGTGCGGAAACGGCTTCGTTGTTTCATAATGTCCAATAATGTGTCACCCGGCGGCCATGTTGGTAAAGGGTACCACGTGTGGTACGGTGACGTCATCGCCGCGTCCCCATGTAAGATGGCGGCCGTGCTGCCTCGCCCAAGCCTCGGCCAGCGACACCCGTTCGGAATGTGTCGTGTACATTCATCCGGGAGGAGGAATCCGCTGAGCTATGAAGCTCTTTCTACAGACGTCCAGTAGGGGTGGGTCAGCAAGTTACAACAAGTAATTTGAAAAAGCGAAAGGAGTGCAAATATAGGGGAAAGATAAGCAATTCACGAAAAATATATATAATTTCCAAATTCAATCTTGATTTGTTGTTCTGTGTCTCTGTGTGTGTCTCTCTGTGTATGTCTCTGTCTCATCTCTATGTGTGTCTCTCTGTGTGTATGTCTCTCTGTGTATGTCTCTCGGTTTGTCTCTGTGTTTCGCTCTCTCTGTATCTCTCTGCGTGTGTCTCTGTGTGTTTGTCTCTCTCTGTGTATGTCTCTCGCCGAGCTTGAATTTACATACAGTTCTCACCTGATGACGGTTGCTGGTGTTGCAATCGAAACGTCGTGATCTATTTTTACGTGACTTTACCGAAAGAACCAACGAGTCATTTCCAAATTGCATCAGTTCAGTAGATAAATTGCAGCCGATTTGCTTTAACACCAGATGCTGGCGTGGGGCAGGGCAGGTTGGTGGCGACAGGAGACGTCAACTCCCTCCCCGCCTGCCACGCGGCACCACGCGGCAGGGGCACGCGGCAGGGGCACGTGGCACGCGGCAGGGGCACGTGGCACGCGGCAGGGGCACGCGGCAGGGGCACGTGGCACGCGGCAGGGGCACGTGGCACGCGGCAGGGGCACGTGGCACGCGGCAGGGGCTCGTGGCACGCGGCAGGGGCAGCAGGGGGAGCCCCACGTGGGTTCCAGCTCGACCCTGACGCTGCTGCCGCTGCTGCTGCTGTCGCGTGTTTGGAGTTGGCGTGTCTCTCTCCGTGGTCGCGTGGGTTTCTCTGCGGGTCCTCTAGTTTTTCCCTCCACATTTAGAATCAACATCACGCGTTTAGAGGATTTGGCTGCGATCAATGTCCACACTTATGAGCCACTTCGTTGAGCTATCATCTATGGCTCAGTGGACCTGGTAGATTAACAATAGCTTTCATTTAGTTTGCCCATTCGCGCCGGAGAGGAAGACGCACCTGAAACACGTGCCCAGGTGAAAATAACGTTAGGGGCCGTCCATAAATGACGTCACGCACCTAGGGGGGAGGGGGGGGGTCAGACATTTGTGACGGGGGAGGGGGGGGGGGTGAGAAATGTGACGTCACATCAAAATGCGCAACTTTAAATAAATAACTTTAAATAAATATAGACAACACGTTATACTTAAATTGTATTATTTCCCTTCTACGTGACTTTACCGAAAGAACCAAAAATACGTTCTACTTAAATAGACTTTTTAATAAATGTTTTCCCCTGCAACATCAGAGTGCAGCGCCACATTAAATACGCACTATGACAATAGTTTAAAGCGATGTGAAACATGTTTTATTTGGGGGGGGGGGGGGGGCAGAGCTTTGTGACGTCATATTTGAGGGGGGTCTGACTTTTTGTGATGCCGTGTGACGGGGGGGTCAAAAATCGTCCAAAATCGCGTGATGTCATTTATGGACGGCCCCTTATAGGAATATAAGTAGCAGGATGTCGCGTGCGGCATCTGGGGTGCTTCAGGGAGGTTGCCCCTCCATGTGTCCGGGTCCCACACCTGTCAACCCCTTGTCACTGCTGCCTACCTTATTCCAGAACAACTCAGACCCTATTGATCACCCCGTGCCCTTATAAATCTCAACGTTCATCCTGCAAAGTCCCATCACGAGGGAGAAACACAAACAAATAGACATATTTTTGCCCATATTGAACCGGCTGTACGCCGTATGGACCTGCAAACTGAGTTTCCCTGGACTGGAATGCGGGGTGACGCGTCTGGGTCGACAGGGATGGGGTTGAGCCTCCGACACACCTCGGTGGTGATCCTGGCAGCCACGGTCCCCTGAATCCGTTACATTCCCGTCACAGGTACTGAAGAAAACGTTGACAACATTACTTTCCATAATTACCGGATGAATATGTCTAGAACCGCGTCTGACTGTCATTTGCATAGATAGATTTTGTTTTCAGAAATGTTTTGTCTTTTTTACAATACCTTATTGGTTTCACTGTTATGCCAATCATACAATTGCTGTAATTTTCTGAGTTATCTCAAAGATATCTAAAAACAAATTATAATGAATCGGCGCTGTTGTGGAGAATCCAAAGAACTCAATAAGCAGGCCATGTCTCTTTCATCGATCAGTCTTCTCTAAGATCATACTTGATCACTTTTCTCCTGCTTTATATTTTCAGGTCAAGCATGTATTGCACGATTTTTAGTTTTTCAAGTGTTGATGAATTTATCCCCACTGGAGCCTCACCCATTCACTGGACTGAAGAAGAAAAAGCATTTTAATCTATAAACTTGTACCAAGGCTCCGCAATAACACATTCGAGAATTCCCCCCCCCCCCGTCACGCATGCACCTGCTGTATCGCCTCTGCATTGAACCACCAGCCACAGGCTGTGTGTTGATGTGCTGTTGGTTTCACGACGTAAACACGATGCTTCTGAAAAAGAGCTAAATAGCTTAGTAGGCCTTACCTGGTAAAATAAGAAATAATGTTTAATCACTTAGTTTAACATGTCAGTGCTTTACAAACTATTCTTTATTACATCTTGATATCTACATTCATGTGAACCAGTGTGCTGCTATGAAGTATCCTGTTATGATGCTTAATTGTGAACTTTAGTTTGCAGCAATCTAGATCCTTTTACTGTTTTTTATTATATATGTTTAATTCTGTTTTTATCTGTTGCACTTCAGAGCCTGTTGTTACAACGCATTTCTTTGCCACGTCTCCCGAGAATTTGATTCTAGGACTCAACGGGCTCTTATCTGGTCTTTAAGAAAGCAATTGCATTGAAAGTAAAATTCACTCTTCCGAGAATTTATGTTGCAGACTTCCTCCCGTTCGTCTGCAATGGCTGTGCCAAGGTGTTCTGGTGAGTCTCATTGGTGAGAATATATATATTATATATAATATATAGTTTTTTGCATGGTGCTAGCTGCGGAACCTTGCTGCTCACCTTTGCCACACTTGTGACCCCCCCCCCCCCCCCCCCCCCCCCCGTGTTTCCACAGTTTGGAGCATAGAGGCAAGGACGACCACGCATGCACAGAGGTGAGGCCTCGGCAGCAGAGTTGCTCAACGCCGAGGAGCCTTACCTACTACACAGAACGCTCGCCAATACACAACACTCTGCAACGCATTCACAAGCACTCTACACCCACCACCCAATTGGCTCACATTTACACAAAATTCCTGCTGGGAAAATCTGACACCGCAAGCGCATTTCCACTCGCACATCGGAGCCATGCCGATGCCGTGCCAAGCTGGGCTGTCGCGGGTCAGGAGGTCCAGGTTGTTCACCGTGGAACCCAGAGCCGTGACGCCACACAATGTACACGTCATTCTCCCCGCTCCTATCCCCTGCCGGCCTCTGAGGCAGATTGAGATGTCTCGTGAGGCCACCATGGCGCGGTTTAGTTCCGGCTCAGTACGGCAAAATAACTTGTGGAAATACCACCGGTGTACCCCAAGGGCATCTCGCTAACTCGGCTCGGCTGTCCCAATGGAGAAGGGGTATGTGACACAAAGAGGGCTGGGCACCTGGGCTCAGAACCAAGCCAACACGAAACCACTCGCGACCTCTACTGGCTCAACGCGGAAGTGAAAGTGATGTCACATAGTTCAAACTAAAACTAAACTTTTTATTTTACCAGGTAAGGCCAACTGAGCTATTTAATTCTTTTTCAGAAGCGACCTGTCCACAAATAATAGGTCAACAAAGTGGCTTTTAAAGCAGCCAAATACTCTGAATGCACGTTGTTTCTAAATGTGGAAGGAAAAACCAAAGGACCCGGAGAAAAATCCACCTGACCACAGGGAGAGAGACACGCAAACTCCAAATATACAGGCGTCAGGGTTGGGATCGAGAATGCACGACCTTTATTCCAAGAGAGGTAGTTAACATCTCGCCACTGTGGCGATAGTGTTAAAAAACACACGGCCATTATGAGCCCCCAAGCCACTTGGTCACCCCTCAAGTAAAAAGAGTTTCAGAGTAACGCCGAGTCGGCGCGTCGCCCACAGGCAACTCCCGGGAGAGCGGCGCCCGCCGGGGGGGGCCCCACGAGCTACGCGTGCCACGTGCCGGCCTGCCCGGCGCGGGAGCTGCTGCCCGTGCTGTGTCCGCACTGCAGCCTGCAGGTGTGCCTCAGGTGCGTGCCGTCGATACCCGTCTTCTCGTGCCACCCTCCCCCACCCCACTGCGTCGATTCACTCCTCCTCATTTCTCTCTGCACTTCGCCCAGTTCCCCCGCCGCTCCCTGTCTCTACATGCTTCCCGGCCGCTCCCCGTGGCTTCCCGGCCGCTCCCCGTGGCTTCCCGTGTGTCCCAGCAGCACTCCCGGGCAGCTCCGCCCCTCTCCCCGTTGTCTTCCCTCTCGCGTCAGTCGGCAGGAGAGAGCGTAAAACGTGTACACTATCGGAAGACCTTTCTTGAAGTAAGAGCAGCAGAGCAAAAGAAGCGACCTTTCCTAGGCTTAGGAAAACACGAGGAGCGATTTGACAACGCAAAGAATCGAGAGCTTTGTGTGTACATGTGCATATACGCCGTGCTTGGACGTGTATGGGTGGCCAGCAAAACGCCGGGCGTGGTGCTGACCACCCACCTCTTCGTGTGCCGTTCCCGCCTTCGTAGGTGTTCACTTACAGCACTTGCCCCAACAGTCTCTTAAGGCTATACGGCGGATCCTTTTCTTTGTATGTTTGTATTCATGCACATGCAAAAAGAGCACTTGCAAAGTGGTAAGCGCACCGTACTTTAAACCTGAGTTCGATTCCTGGCCAACAGTCAAAATGATCTTAACCAGTCTCCCTAGGTCAGCCTGGCCTTAAAAGCGTACCTAGCATAGTGCGGACATAAAACATTGACACCACGGAGACGAGCGCGGTTGTGCGCCGTGCTGACCTGAATAGGCGCTCGCTCTCAACAAGGGTACGCACGGCGGATGCTCGTGTCTCCGTGCGCGGGCACAGGCACCGGCACCAGGTGGACCACGCGTGCGTGAACCTCCAGGAGGCGGCGCCGCGCATGCAGCGCACGCAGGAGCTGGTGCGGGGCATCACTGGTACCACACGCACACACGCACCCTCACACACGCACCCTCACACACGCACCCTCACACACGCACGCTCACACACGCACGCACCCTCACACACGCACCCTCACGCACCCACCCTCACGCACGCACCCTCACACATGCAGTGGCTGGGCATGCGGACTACATGACCCAGCCAACACAGCCTTGCCTGCCGGAGGAGCTCACCGATGGGACTTTGTCCAGATCTTTAAAGGATTTGTGAGCTCCTCACATAATCCAGCCTGGTTAAACCCAGGATGGATCGTAGGCAGGCCAGCCTAAATGTTTCCAACCGGCGAAGATGTTCCATTAGGGGGGTCCACGTTTCGCAAGCGTAGAGAAGGGAGGGTTTGACTGTGGCCGAGAAGACCTGAAGCTTCGTGCGGAGCGACAGACCAGGTAGCTTCCACACAGCGTTACGCAACCGATGAAAAGATAATGCCGCACGACTAACACGGAGTGAGACCTCTGCTGATAAACTGGAGCCGGTCATGAGCACACTGCCCAGGTATGGGAAACTCTCCACTCTCTCCACAACTGCCCATCACCGATTAGGAGTTGTAGGGGTGGAGTGGTTGTGACGTCACCAGGGCGCTTGTGCCAGGCTTGGTGGACTTTGAAGCCATGTGAAGTGTCGAAGGCCTACTGTTGGCTGGAGGTCACTTGACAGACCCAGGTGCGATGGGTTGACCACCTGTGCCTCCTACTGCCTACTGTGCCAACGTTTTATTTGCCTGAAGTTCCACTCATTGTTATGAGCGTCGCTTCTCTGCCATACGTTGTTATTGGAGAGCAACTGCCTACCAACTACCCAGTAGCGTCCTTCACGAGCCTCCTCACGTATGACATGACCCCATTTCCTCTCGAGGCCATGCTAGGTAGGAGATGAGCTGCACTCCCACACGTCACGTGTTCTCTCTGCTGCCGTGAGCGGTGGTCACCACGCGTCTCTCCCTCCCCTGTGTAGAGGGGAGGTGTGGGGCTGCAGCCGCCGTGGGGAGGCGCGGGGCCCGGAGTGCGGCCGTGACGGCACGCGTGCAGCTCATGAAGACCAAGCAGCAGGCAGTGGGGGAGCAGGGGATCCCTCAGGCACGACCACGCAATGCCACGCGTCACAACACGACACAACACGATGTCACAACGTGGCCTGGCCCAACACGACAAAAGGCGGCCACAGCAGGACTCCCTACGCATCCCATCTCAACGCGACGCATCGCAACGACGCAACGTGGTCATGCCACCGTGACACGACACAGCACAACGCAACACATCGCAACAAAGCGACACAACAACACAATGTGGCAACATTGCACGAAACTACAAGACACAACGAGACACGCATTGTTGCACGGCACGACACCATGGCTGGACGCGATACTGCGTGACTAGACAACACACAAAGCACCGTCTCTACCACACAGTGCACACTCAACGACAGTGCGCATCACCGGGCCACACTGGACCCCAACGGCGTACAGTGCCTCGCCACACCACGCCACACCGCACCACACCACACCACGCCGCACTATACCTCAACACAACATCCCAAGCTTAACCATTCTGCACTCAAACCCCCCACATCTCGTCGTAATTTATCTCCACCGCAGCACGCTTACCCATCCCGTGCCAATTTAACCACTCCACGCCTGGTCACACTCCACCGTGCCGCACGTATTGAAGCCACACTTAGCCACCACGCTGCGCTCACGCCTGTGCGTGCGGCTGTGCGATTGCAGGAGGAGCGGCTGTACCTGCGTGTGCGGTTGCCGCGCACTGCGGGGGTCTCTGAGGGGCAGCAGCAGCAGCAGGAGGAGCGTGCCGTGTTCGTGTCTCGTGCGTGGTCGGTGGGACGCGTCGTCGACTGGGTCGCCAGCGCCACGCGCCTTCCCAACAACAACCACGTCGCCAGTGCCAAGGTGGTCGCGCACACGCATCTCGCACTTACACGCTCTACAGGCGGTACACACGCATCACTCACACGCACACGGTTTACACACAGGCACTACACTCAATCACGTGTGTGACCGCACGCTACATTTTGCCGTGTTGTGAGCAGACATGGCGGCGCACGGTTGAGATTGTAGGCGCATCTTAGGATCACGCGGGAATCAATCGTCAAGCGCTGAAAAACTCACAAATCTGCAAGGCTGCAGGGCTCTGGCCAGGAGATGGCAGCACAGCAAACGTGTTCATGAATCTGTTTGTGAGGACATTTGAGTGTCGATTCACGTGTGGCGGATTTTCTTTGTGTACTGCGACATGTAAAATACTTATTTTAAAAAATATACTTTGGTCAAACATCCCAATGCCGAACCTTCCTGAATAACGGCCATGGGACTCAGTGTTGCGTTGTTGTGTAAATAACAGGCATCGCTCGCACACCACCACCATCACCACCACCGCAGCATCAGCAGCAGTACCTCCATCCACTACTAAGCGTGAGCGACGTCGCCATGGTGCTTGTGCCAGATTGATTTCTAAATTAAGTGCTTCTCACACCATGTCAGTCATGGTGGTTGTTTAGCCTAATACTTCACCACACTGGTCAGTGTGGGTTTGTGAAGGGGGGCGGGGGACATCACAGCCGCCGATGTTGAGCCGTGGCCGGGACTGGAACGTCACGTCACCGTGACGCCACTGGCGCCGCTCTCGCTGCAGAAGCTGCATCTGTGCGACGTGGCGACGCTGCGCGCCTGGCCCATGGACGCCCTCGTGGACTCGCTGCTGTCGGCCCCGGGGAGCGAGGGAGAGGGGCTCGGGGATGGCGGCGGCGTTCTGCTCAAGTACCTGGACCCTGGCTGCGATGTCGCACCGGACGCTTCGCCACCGTCGGCGACATAACGGCAGCGGTCGGCTCGGCCAGTGACCTTCAAGCCCTCGCCTATGGGGGGCGGCAGTCTGCGATGTTGCACGTGTGACCCGTCATCCGCGTGCGTGCGTGCCACACACGTCCATTGCACTCTGGGTACGCGGCCTTGTACATTAACAGCCTGCCCACCACTCGCTCTCAACCGTCAGTGCCACCAGTGTTCTGTGGAATGATAAGACCCTGCCATAGAAAAGTGGAATTTCCAATCCAAACTTAGGCCCACTAATGGAGAGAAGCATCACCCAGCACTTGTTTGAGTGAGAAGCCTTTTTGACGATGGTCGTTATTTGACTTTACGACCACTTGACCCCACTCGTAATGTCCAGAAGTGTATTTTGTTTGCCGTCTTGTCTCAAATGTGAAGAACAGCCATTGCTAGTACTATTGCCTTGATTTGTTTTTGTCTTATGAGGCAGTGCCAATGAAGGGAGCTGATAACGCAGTTTCTGTTCGATGCAAGACGTTTTTACGACAACTGTGACGGGAGTTTGGTGGGACTAACTCGCCACATCCGCACTCGCCCCTAAGCCTCGCAGAACTCCGTGAACAGTCACACACAAGTCACCGGGTACAATTCGCATATATGCAGATATATCACACCAAACACAAAGTGCTGTTTGCCACACCAAGCGCATTTGGCAACCTCCCTAGAAGAGCCTCGGCAAATCTCTCATGACCACCGCCCAGCAGCCGTGATGTCAGGGCCAAACCCGATTGGTTTGCAATAATATTTGTGGATTGGGGGGGTTTGGATAGGAAAGATGATGGTCGATGGATGCCGAAAGAAAGGACTCCCCCAAAGAGGAGGACCGCAGCAAAGGCGGAGCGATGGGATCCGTTCGTATGCAGGAACGGGATGGCTCGTGGTGTCGCAGGACCATGAAGAATGGCAACAAGCTTGGGGGCGGGGGGAGGAGACCTTCATCCAGGAGCGGATCGAGCACGGTGGTTGCGCACTGCGCCCGGCTGTGCGAGCGACTCTCCGCGGCGACATCGCGCTCCGCCTGCTGCTCCTTCGCGCCACCTGCTGCGGGAGAGAGAGGGAGAGAGGCCGCGGCGCCCAGGGCGGGCGGGCGGGCGGGCGGGCGGCACTGCCCCCTCCCGGCTCGCCGCGGTATCGTTATTCGCGGTTATTGTCAAATTGTATCATTTAACGATGATCGCCACAATGAGTTCCCCTTACCTTCTGAATTGTATTTCGCACGTTTAAGCTTGTACGAATACAGATTAATTAAAGTTCTTCGACTGTAGTTTACTCAACATAAGCCTGCCCCAAGTCTTAATGCAAGCAGATGCATGGTCTACAATGCGTATGTCTGTGCTGGCAGTTAAGCGAATATTCAATAATTCCGTGACCTATCAAAATTATGAGATCATAAAAGGGATGGACAAATACATTACAGAAAAAGGAATGGCCATTGACTCTTTACTGTAATGGGGAAAACGGAATGCTTGAATATGTTTGAACATCATAACACTGCTGTATTGTTGCCAGAAAGGGTAAAGCCTATTGTCATCATTTTGATACTGTCAAAAAGGTCCCATCTTGATCTATAAAGACCTTAGTCTGCGTCTCAAAAACTCCCAGGGTACTTCCCAGCAAGGTAGAAAGCTGACAATTTCGTACATAGGTAGCTTTTTGGACACAATAAAAATCTGTGAGACCGAGAGTTTTCATTTTAAGGCTCCCAAATCTCGATTTGCACACATGGCTGGTATGGTGTTATTCAGAAACTGTTCAAAATATTAGATTGCGGGTTTTTTCGTTTGATGGAGCATTAAACCGCTAATAAAATTAAAGCGAGAACCATTGTTCTATCTTTAATTGTTTTGATATATTTTGGATTTGAATGAAAACATACATTTTATGATGGTCAAACCTGAAAAATGGTCAAAGATAGGAGCTTCCCCTCAACAGAGTATGAAGTAATTTTTTGTTCTTTCTAATAAAAACAAGTAAAAAAATTGCAGGAAAATACATTTTTGAAGTAGTTAGTGTTTGATCGTAGATAAAACATTTTTTACAAATCATAGGTTACTTATTATATTTATTGAAAACTTTTGCCTGGCAAAAACAGGCTTTATGAACTAGTTGAATAATATGGGCATTTCGTTTTTCATTCCAGTCTGGGACATTCCTTTTTCTATCATTGGTTGGGAGCCTATCCCCACCATGTAATTGCCACGAAACATTTATCAAATGATCTAATTTTAGGAGGAAGATGGCTATGTATTACTTTCATTATTGAGTTTCTCATTTCATAAATATGTATTGCCAGGAAATAAAATATTTCAGAAAAATAAAATGGGCGGCGATCATGAATATACCTCTCCAGCCCGCATTGAGCGGCAGGGAAACGTACGAACAAATCAAGTCCCACGGCGCGGTGAGGCCGACGTCCAGCTTGGCTCTCGTATGCACGAGGTGATACTACCGTCAAGGATCTTCAGCAGGCTGCACATGTCGCCACTTAAGCCGCTGCTCCTGCATTGTTCCTCGCGGCTCTGTTGGGACGCAGAAGGTGCCGGACCGCGATGCGCCACAAACTCCCAACGGATCCAATTAAACCTGTTTTAGAGAACGCCTGACTCAACATCTGAAATGTAAAACAACGAGGCTTTTATTTGTTCATCTAAACTAAACTTTTTATTTTACCAGATAAAGCTCACTAAGCTATGTAGCATTTTTTTTTTCAGAAGCGACCTGGCCACAAATGATAGCTCAATGATTTTTTTTTATAGCCAAATAGTCAAAACGAATGTTTATTGGCACTCGTGCACCGCCCGTGCTTCTGCTGTTGTTGTTGCACTTGGGCTACGCCCATCCACAAACCTTGACAAACAGTTTGTCTTTAGAGGCTTGACTCCTTTGCCTGATGACGACCGCTTGTGTTGCGATCGAAACGTCGTGATTTGTTTTATTTTATTTCTATCTACGTGACTTTACCGAAAGAACCAAAGAGTATGGATCAGAGGTCGCAAACGGGTTTTGATTCCTTACCCGTACGCGGCCGCACCAGGGTCGCAAACGGGTACCCGATATCCGGCCGGGTATCGGGTAGCCGGGTATTGGGTACGGGTAGCCGGGTATCGGATACCCGATTGCGACCTCTGGTATGGATCCCTGCAGTCACGGAAGCTTCAAATCAAGATTGAATGTTTCTAAATTTGGAGGGAAACCCGAAGGACCCGGAAAAAAAATCCACGCGACCACAGGGAGAGAGACACGCAGACTCCAAATATAGAGGCGACAGGGTCGGGATCGAACCCACGACATCCTGTATACCAGGTGAAGGAGGTAACCCCTCGACGCCGTGGCGCCCGCGTGTTCACAGTACAAACGTCGAGCTTATTGTTTCTGATTCATATTTGGCCCTTTACTCAAGGACGCTGAAGTCAGGGGACGTTCAGAAGCAACTCCTGGCTCACGCCACTCAGAGCTCCTCCAGCCGGAGCAGGGCTCGGCTTCGTGACGTCAATCATTAATAACCCACCGTCTCTCGTATTCACGCGCATTGCGGCTCTTGAAATATAGATTATTATTTTTAGCGAACTAGTAGTGGTAGTCACGGGCTCGTCACCAACACTGATCCTCACCCGTGTGGTGGTGGTGGTGGTTGTGTAGTGGTAGCTGTTACTCGTGGTTCCAGTAGAAGTTGTTGTACCAGCAGTGGTCGTCACGGTCGAGCGGTACGAGGTGGTCGTGCTGGTAGGAGCCACTCTCCCACCACATGGGACGTGTCGATTGACTGTGTACCCATGTGTACAGCTGGGTGGATACAGGAGGAAGGGGGGGGTGGTGCCGATTGCCTCAAATTACCGCGCAGACTGGCGATCCAGCGGTCGCCAGCATCGCTGTGCTTGCCTAAATACATCCCGAGCGTGTGGGGCGGGTATTTGAGAGCACCTGAAGACAAGCAGGGCATTCGTACTGAGGCGTGAGTGCCGAGGGTGTGACCGGTGTTCATCGGTGGCCGTCGACACGCTCCTTACGACAGCTGCATTTCTTGAGCCCAGGTTTCTGGGATGAGAGTGTGGGTGCGTGGCCTGCTGCATTGCTGGACAGCCTCCACCACCAAGTGTGGGCGACGCGACGCCGGTACAAAGTGCCAGGGCAGGTGCGCTTTCAGGCCACGTTCGCGAAGGCTGTGGGATTGACCGGCTTAATGTGCACAGACACACGCGTGTGCGTGATAGGGACAGACGCATACAAAGACCCCCCGCCCCCCCTTACCGGCTCAACAGACTGTTAGCGAGCACCTCTGAAGGCCGGCTCGACACACGAGGGGGTGGGTGGCCAGCACCACGCCCGGCCACCTTTGTCTCTCCAGCGGCGATGTTTACGCACCGCACTAGGCACTCATTTTGAGGCCGAGTCGACCTAGGAGAGGCCTAGGACCGATTCGAATAACCGCCACTGGTGGTGGCCGTGAGCGGGATTCGAACTCGGGTCGCCGGGTTCGTAATGCAGCGCGCTAAACGCTGCGCATACACACACGCACACACACGCGCACACACACACCACACACGCACACACACGTGCACGCACACACCACACACGCACACACACGTGCACGCACACAACAACCGCCATTCGCCACTAAGTGGCGGTGACGTCACCACGACGCTTGTGCCAGGCTAGGTGCACGTTGAGGCCACGTGAAGTGTCGAACGCCCGCTGGCAGGTCACGGGGCAGACCCAGGTGCCACGGGTCGACTGAGATGACCGAGATGACTGGCTGATGCACCACCTGTGCCCCCTACTGTACCAACTTGCTGTGCTTTAGCCACCCGGCGCTCCGCTCGTTGTTGTGAGCGTCGCTCCTCCGCCCTCCGTTGTTGTTGGAGGGCGACTGCCTCCAACTGGCCAGTAGCGTCCTTCACGAGCCTCCTCCACAGAGGCCGATCTTGACACCGCTGATACAAGTCATCGGCAAGTCCACTCAGCTCCACGTCCTCCTGTACCACATCACTCCATCTCTTCTCTAGCCCGTGCCGCGCCCGTTTAGCCCCCTCGATCCGGCCGAACAAAAGCTGTGTAGGCATGCGGTGGCTGGGCATGCGGGCTGCATGACCCAGCCAACGCAGCCTTGCCTGCCGGAGGAGCTCACCGATGGGACTTTGCCCAGATCTTTCAAGGATTTGTGAGCTCCTCACACAATCCAGCCTGGTTAAACCCAGGATGGATCGTAGGCAAGCCAGCCTAAATGTTTCCAACCGGCGAAGATGCTCCATTAGGGGGGTTCACGTTTCGCAAGCGTAGAGAAGGGAGGGAATGACTGTGGCCGAGAAGACCTGAAGCTTCGTGCGGAGCGACAGACCAGGTAGCTTCCACACAGCGTTACGCAACCGATGAAAAGCTATTGCCGCTCGACTGATTCGGAGACCTCTGCTGTTAAACTGGAGCCGGTCATAAGCACATTGCCCAGGTATGGGAAACTCTCCACTCTCTCCACTACTGCCCCATCACCGATTGGGAGTTGTGGGGGTGGAGTGTCCAATGGTACAAATACCCAGGCAGGTGCTTAGTTTTGGTGGGGCTGATGGTAAGGCCCCACCTCTTAGTGGCAGTCTCAGCAGCAGCGTCTCCAACTCCTCCTCTGAATGAGCAGCTATTACCAAATCATCGGCATACATAACGTGGTTGACCAATAGGGAGCCATCCCTTGATCGCACCAGGTCATCGATCAGCCTCCTATTATATCTGTACCAAATGGAAATTCCCCCAGTACAGCTATTGAAGGCTTCACGAACTACGTGGTCAAAATAGATGTTAAATAATGTGGGAGCCAGAGGACATCCCTGTCGCACCCCAAGGTGTACAGGGAAAGGCTCTGACTCCCGGCCACGTAGTTTTACCCGGGCCCGCTCACCATCATGAACGTCCTTAATGAGTGGCTGGCTGAGGTGCCATCTGTTGAGGAAGTACTTAAGGCGATCCGGAGTCTGAGACCAGGAAAGGCACCGGGCAGAGATGATCTCCCAAGCGAAGTGCTCGGAGAGGGTGGCGTTGTGAACAGACTGCCCGATATGACATCATAACAACAGTCTGGACCACTGGACGGGTTCCGCAGGATTGGAAGGATGCCTTGGTGGCCCCCCTCTTTAAGAAGGGGGACCCCACAGACTGTAACAACTACAGGGGCATCTTACTCCTCAGTGTGCCGGAAAGGTCCTGGCAAGGATTATTCAGCATCGCCTTGCTAGGCACGCTGAGGAGAGGCTTGCGGAGCCCCAATGCGGTTTCAGGAAAGGGCGGTCCTGCACATATGCCATATTTTCTGTCCGTCTGCTACAGCAGAGGTGTAGGGAATTCCAACAAGACGCACACACACACACACACGCACGCACACGCACACACGCACACACACGCACACCCACGCGCACACACACACACACGCATACACACACGCACACACACACTTGTGTACCCAAACACACGAGCGCCAGGAGCGGTGTGCGGACACGGGGGTTGTCTCAGCAGCCGTGGCGAGCCGCTTGCAGATCAAATCACGAGTTTGCGTTTATAAATGTGTGATGCCACCAGGAGACAGCTTCAGAAATTTATTGAATAGCTCTGTCTTGTTCATGTTTTGATTTAAAAAAAAAATCGCAATCGAATGTGACCAGTGGCTCTGAGTGCGACATTTAAATAAATACTCGTAGAACTTGAGTTGTCAAGTGGGGGAAATATATATAATTTTTATTTTGCCGTTTAAAACAAAATTTGTGAAGACAACACGTTTTAGACGGACGCTTCCAATGCTCACTCGGGCTGGGTGTGATCTTGCGGGGGACACCAATTAACATAATTGGACCTAACGCACGCGTTGGCGGAGAGGCGACTTCCACGGACGTTTCACGGAAGAGTGCTCACGTCTCCAAGACGCTGCGCAGGCGTGGCCATTGCTCCGTCAAGACGTCGGCGAAAGCCGCCGCTCCGTCCACGCCGCACGGTACGAGACCCCCTGTCCAGTGGGCCGGGGGCCCGGGCTGGAAGTGCCCCCCCCCCCCACACCCCCCCCGAACCCGGTCTCGCCGGACCCCCTTTCACAGCCCGGGCGTGACTCGGCGTTGCTGTAGACTTGGGGGGGCCCTGGTCAAGTCTGTGGATGAGGGTGGCTGGAACCACCACCACGACCCACGGGACAAGCACCGAGCATCGGGTGGCCTCTTCAGACGCCTCCCGACGAGAGCTGCGAGTTTCCGACTCGCGCTGAGTTCTCTGCCGCTCCTGGCGCGCAGCAGAGAGACCGACGCCGCCGTTTCGTTTGACCCACGCGA